TGAGTTTGTTGTGAATATTGGGTGGACTGATAACGAGATCAACTCGTTTGATTTTTCCAAAATAAAAAGCTACCCTCTCATGACCTGTATTCTTTTGATATGTATAACTAGAAGAAAAGATATTACTGGGGCCTGCCACAGCACTTCATAGGAGAAGCATTGAAATGCCTTGCAAAGCAAAAATATTCGCCTTTATTATCTTTCTTTTCTCAGGTTAGTGCACTGCCTTCTCATCACCATGTTTTTTTTTTACTTTTGTACATATTTCATTATAATTGCAAATTTCAGACCCATTGAAATTCGTGGAAAATCTTCAAAATCATAGAGCTACAAACTGTTTCTCAGCCTGTTGGTCACACTCTTCATGCTCTTCCTTCAGGCTCCTGCCTGATGGAAGAGGCTAAACCAGGCGTCACCAACACACCCGATGCCCCTAAAAATAAACATTGTCATTAGGGAGCCCTGCCTCGACAAATGTTCATTTTTATGTTTTTACGTTGAGGTAATAACATTTATTTATATTTAGAGTTTTCGAAAAAAGGAAATGATGAAAACATTTAAAATAAGTTGCTTTATGTATGAAACTCTTTCCTACGGTTAAAGTTCAGAACTATGCACAGACGACTGCAGGATATTTGTATCAGAACCTGAACCTGCGATCAACACCCTCCTCTTTCCGTGAGCCACACCGGTAGACTTCACTTCCATGTCTTAATTATTCAGCATCGTCTGAAAAAACAAAAATGTCAGCCACTCTTGCGGTTTAGGTTTGTGCTGATTTTTGTGCGTTGGAGAGGTGGTTGTGCTCTTGCAGGTCAGGTGCAGTGATAGTTTTGTGCCACCCTCTGATCTTACAGAAAAACTCCAAGCCGTGAAATAAACCAAACCAAACTGACCAATAAGATTTAGGCTTTGGCGTGACCCACCTGGGTGAAAGAAAATCACATGTGTAATGATCTTTAAACTGTAAACAAAAGTCCCATTACACACAGTAGCTAGTTACCTTCAGCCTTGTTGCAGGACACACACTGTCTTGTAAGCGAAGTTTCATGTGCAGATGTTTTCTTTATGTTTAGCTGTGAGGGTCTCGGCTTGAGGCCGAACTATGACGTGAGACACTATGATCTGTAATCCAAAGAGATTTCTCATGAGTAAGAATAACAACCTCAGAGTAAAGAAGTGAACATTTACAGGTACAAATAAAAGAGCTCCACTTCAGCAGCAGTGGGATGTCTCTTGACTGATCCAGCATGTCTCTGAGTACTCAAGCTGGAGGACATGTTTCTGTTTAAGGAAGATTTTTTTTTCCCAGGGCCAACCAGTGCTCAGTTGAGAGCACACACACACACCCACACACACACACACACACACACACACACACGCACACACACACACACGCACGCACGCACGCACGCACGCACGCACACTAAAAAATACGAACAGAGATCAATGACACCAGAACCATTCACATAAAATTTAAACAAAATGAATAAAAATAACATGATGAAATAGAAACACGAATAAAATCCATGAGATAAAATCCATTAAGAACCACTGAGAGCGTCACTGTCACTTCAGTGAACAAAGAGTGGTTTAAAAAGACATTTGAAACAAAAAAGTAAAGTTGACGGAGCAGCAATTGGCATGAAATTAAAAGTGTTGTGAATCAGTAAAGCTCGATAAGATATCAAAAAGGTTTAAGGTGGTTTAGAGCCATGGCATTACAGTCTTAGATATTTTTTATGGAGCCGATCCACTGCTTTAGTTATGCATAACTAGACTCTCAAAAGAATGTGAAGGATTTATTTCACGAAGTCCATGACTGATAGACAAAGAGGAGTATCTGATTTTGAAATTAGATGTAAATTGTATTCTATTTATTAAGAGTAACCCAAGAGTTTGAGAAACTCAAGCATTCAAGGTTGGCACAAAATAGCAGGGCCTCAATAAATAATGTCTGGAAAGTGGAATTAGTCCTCTTTGAAGTTTCCAGCACATGTTTTTCTAAGAGTAGATCAAACCATGGAAGGATGGAATATTCCTTCTGTTAATGGACTAAATCCAGTGCCAATTAGCCGTCGTCTGGGTGGTTTCTGCCTCATTTACTTCTGTTAAAAACGTGGTTATTTTAAGACTAAAGCTCCAAACCTAATTAAGTTGAAACTATAGAAAAAGCATCGTTTCCACACCGATGAGACAGGACTTCAGCAAATTATTCCTGTTACTGACAAACATTACTGATATTTTCTAAGGTGTGTAAATGGATGTCATATTTCTATGTAGACAATATTCTACCAGTAGTCACTCAGTCGTTTCAGTCAGTCTGGGTTTGCTGTTGGGTTTCGACTACATTTTGTTAAATCATAAAAATTAGAAGAGTAAATAGGTTGTTTTTGAGCTAAGGCTGATGATGGCCCATCAATTACATGTCTGAAAGTCCCTTGAACATAGAAACGAAGGTCTTTAGCCAAACCCGTTGGAAAGGCAATGACAGATCCAGATACAAGAAAAACAGTCCAAAAAAATCTTAATGCTAAAGACTCTTCAGCATGGTGATGTGCTGTTGCCTTGAAGCAAAAAGGTTTTGCGTTTGAATCCCAACCTGGACTCCTTTTGCATGGAGTTTACCCTGTGCATTAATTTGTTCTTCTCTGGGTGCTCCAGCTTCCTGCAACAATCCAAAAACATGACCATTAAGGTAATGACCCATAATTGTCCGCGTGTGTTGGTGTGTGTGTGTGTGTGTGTGTGTGTGTGTGTGTGTGTGTGTGTGTGTGTGTGTGTGTGGGGTGTGTGGGTGTGTGTGTGTGTGTGTGTGAGGCCAGACCACGGTGAGGGAGATGTTGGCTACAAAGGGCCAGCTGTTGCTGTGAGCGCTGGAGCTGTTCTGGGAAGCCGAGAGGTGATTGATGCTGGAAAATTGATTCATTTCTTGTGCTGATAAGCAGCTTCTCTCTTTGTCCTCTCATGCTGCAGCGGGCTTTGAAAGGGGCCCCTGAACAACACGTCTGTTGTCACAGAGAAAAGAAGCAGGTTGGGAAACAGTATCTTACAAATGCAGAAACACAGGTCAGCATCACAGAACCTTAATCAGTCAGCATACTGTCAGTCTGCACATTGGTGAACATTATCGGCATAATTGGGTCTGGAGGTGTTTCAGAGTTAGCGGTGAATCCAGACGGGATGAAGCTTCAGTTGGAGAATCCTCACTTGCGTGTGTGTATGATGAAAGCAAAGCAGACGTTCACTTTGCTTTGAGGAGCTGCAAAGGAAATGGAGCAACTTCTTATCAGTATGCAGCAGTCCACAACAAGAAGACCGGCTGCAAAAATAAAATTATAAGCCACCCACTTTGTGCGTGGGTGTCCGTTCCAGTTTAAACCTCTGCACCGATGGAAAGGTGAGAGACTAACATGAATGTATTAGTTGAGATTTAGTCCAAAGCAACGTTGTCTTTTCCTCCGATCATTAAGACGTTCTGAGTCAGGGAAGTTCATCTTTTGGTCACAAAGAAGACAAATAAGAATAAATAAAACTGGATGCCAGTGGTAGAATATTGTTTAAAAACTGGAACCTTGATCTTTGCTTTTTTACAAAAACTGAGCTTAAAGATGTTCAACAAAAAAAGAACGAAACAAATGAAGACCGTACACTCTTTGTTCTTCGCCAGAGCCAACATGAAAATGTTTTATTTTTGCAAATGCTGAACAGGGAAAGCAGATAAATAATTCATGTCATCATCTGATATGCAATTCCTGAAAATTCCCATCAGAATTTTTTCAGCTTCTTTTTATCCGGAAAATAAAACTCTTTGACAGTGGCTCCCATCAGTGCCTGTGTGAACACAAGGCAGCTGTAGGTTATTAATATGATTAAAGTTTGTGTAAAAACAGTTCATAGTCTGGAAAACAGCAGACCTTCATGTCTGCTTTCAGTGCTGGGAGAACTCAGCTTCATTCTCACAATAAATGGTGATTTTCAAGTGACTTACATGAGCTTTGTTTTGCTGTCATCAGTAATGAATGCTTGGTCATTTGAAGATGCACGAGTCTGTGTATCGTTGTTATTTTCTAGTCAATACCACAACTTTGAAATTATGAGCCCTGATGGGAAAACTCAGCACAAAACTCATTCTGATCAAACGGTTAACTTTGTTTGAAACGATGCGATTGCATTTTGTCACTTTTAGAAAATAGGAATTTGTTCCATCCTTACAAAACTATGACATTGAGCTTGTGTTTTGCATGTCACCGGGACAGGAAGCCTTAAAAAATACTTGATCATCTTTCTTTGTTTTACTCTATATCTTCTAACACACACACACACACACACACACACACACACACACACACACACACACACACACACACACACACACACCCCCCCACACACACACACACACACACACACACACACACACACACACGCGTACACACACACAGGCTCAAACAGAAGGCTGCAGACTTGATCAATTATTTTGCATGAACACATGTATAAAACAGACATCTACCCAGGGACAGACAATTCGGTCCAACATTTGAGAATATCAAGTCATGTAGATGACAGTCACCGTGGCGACTTTCTCATGCTTTCTGTGGCATCCAGTCAGAGACAGACAGTCTGTCTAAGATTTCCTTTTGGGGATTATTTCTATGTGTGTTTTTGTTTTGTGTTTTTTTTTTAGTTGGAAGGGGAAAAATGACAGACTTTTGTTTGCAGAAGCGATCTGTCCCTCACTAATGAGGAACCGCTTTTCTCCTGCCAGCAGAAGACGCGGCGCTCGGGTTTCACACTCTGACACTACAGTGGAAGGTCTCTCATCTATGTTGTTTTCCCAGTCTGACAGACAAACATACACAACATATGGAAATGACTGCTGCGTTGCATGTGCCAGTCCGATGCAAATCCAGCAGAGTTCCTGTTTGCAAATCCCCGGCATTAGCGAGTTTCTGACACCGAGCAGAGGGGCATGGAGACAAACAAAAGCAAGCAGGTGAGAGTGCGTGTTAAGATGTTCTCTTTAATATTAACTATAAAAAACATGTTTTTATTCTTCCTCCACCAGACTCTACACAAATGTTTCACCGCCTCCAAAGGGAGGCAGTCTCTGGTCACAGTCTATGTCCAGCAGGTAAACAATTATTACAAATTGAAGACTTACAAATGAATTAAGAGCAGTAGTCATGTACAGAGGGCGTCCATATTTGTGTCAAACGCATCGTAAAGAATCAGAAACATGGAAATGAATGCTCCGCTCCAATGAGTTTTACATTCAGGTCAGTTAGTTTTATAATTTTAAATACATTTTTTTACGCCTTAAGGACTCATGAAATTGATACAAGACAAATGAAGAAGTCACAATTTAAATTGATATGAGGCTGAGTTGTTATTACACTTTAATCAACCTTTGTTATATTTGGCCTTTAATGTTATTAAAGTATGACAGCACATTTATCGGACTGTTTCAAGTAGGACACCACTTCATATTTCAGCCACTGACAGACTTTTACATTTCTCTTTCTCTCAGTTATATACATAGAAAATACCCAGAAAGATATTTGAAAGCTTGGATTAACAGATTGGAGGGTTTCTTTGCACCTCCAGGCAGCAATAATGAATTGGCAAAACTGAGCTAAAACTTACCTGCCCATAAAATGAAAAAGTATAAGCATAGTAGATAACATTGAGTGTTCCCAGCAAATGATGAAAAGTATTCAGATTTCAGGCAAAGTCCACCACATTTTCAAACATCAAGCTTCTTCTGAGCCCACAGCATGACAGATTATCCACCATGCTCAACAGTGGGGTCCACCATAAATTGACTCCAGGTCTCACTAGGAGTGTTTATCACCAAAAACAATAAAAAACAGAAGTTGTCAGTTAAATTTTCTTAGATATTATCTTAAATATGCATATAATTTAAGGGTTTGAACATGTCCCTTGCAGGTTTATAGATAAGTCTGTAGATTTCTGCTTAAGTCAACTATATATCCCTCCTGAAAAACTGTGTCCACATAGCATTTCTCCTCCATCAGAAAAGCACTAAAAACCACAAATGCACCAATCAATCGCCCAAAGTTGAATTCAGCTGATTTCCCCCTGATACAACAAATACTGAAAAATCAGTCTTTACCACCTGCTAGTCATTAAATGCTTCTAAAACATAAAAATCCCATTATGTTCAGTCTCCCAATGCATCAGCCAAAACATGTACTTTGGCACACATATTAGCCATTTCTTCATTTTTCTTCTAAGTGCAAAGAAGATATTAAAGAATGGGTTCAGATTTGAGTTGGCAAGTCAGACCTCAAATAAAACCGGAAACCAGAAGCAGAAAAACTCAATAAGTGCCTTTATAAAACTCAAAACAGGCTTGGAAAAACATTCATCTGAGCAGCTTGACAGTGGAGATTTTAACACATTAACCAGTAAAATCATCAGCCAAATTCAGTGTAGTGCAGCAGCTTGAATTCAAATTCAATTTCAAGAAATTGACATGCTTTTCAGTCTTTGTTGTACAGACACATCATATTTCCAAGATTAATAATAGATGATTACAAAAAGCAGCTTATTCGGATGAGTATCTGTCCTAACAGCTCACATTTTGGTGAAAAATGTGAACTTTTCTAGGCTTCTTCTTTATCTGTCTGTAACTGGTGGATGCTCCTGCAGCACTACAGCAGTGGAGTGCATGACCCCTTCTCCACCACTAATGGCCATGCTGTACTTCACAGCATCTCTACTTCAGCAACTTTTACAGAGCAACATAACGCACGGCCCAAACGCTTCTTTTGTAAAGCAATCCTGCCGATAAACACAGGTGTGATTTAAATGACGTGATTCCAGCTTTTATTACAGACCTTTATTACAGATCTTAAACTAAAAACCAATGAAACATGACAGTCGGAGAGGATTTTGTACGGAAAACGTTCTTCATGTGAAAAAGTGCTCAGTCGCTGCTTTTAGTCCTGTCTGCATGATAAACGTGGGGAAGCATTGCGTTTCCTTCCGCCTCACGCCACTGAGTAAAAGAAGCTCAGAGGACTCCGTAGTCCCTCAGCGACTTGAGCAGGACCGTGTCTCTGATGTCGGTGAACACCTTGCGGATGTTGTTGGTGTCCGTGGCACAAGTGAAGTGCGGGTACAAGGTCTTCCACTCCCGGGTTTCTTGGTTCATGGAACGCTGCTCGTACATTTTGAGGATGTACTGCTTTGCGAGCTCAGCGTTCTGCTTTTCACCTGCAAGACGATGGGAGACGATGGAGGGAAAGACAAAAATCTGAGCCGAGTACCAGTAGGAGTTCAAAAAGCCAAAACCATTTGTGTATTTTATAGGGGCGTTAAATTGAGTAAAACATGTTTAGGGAGGCACAACATTTTGAAATGAGCCAAAGTTATCCCACAAGTAGCGGCACTGGAACAACGATTCCTTAAAACATCCTCATCATTTTTATATTCTGTTGCTATTTAGTTAAAAATCAAAGATAAAACCTTATCTTGGAATTATTTTCATTATTGTTTTACTCTAATTACATATTTCTACTTATTGTTTAGACTTTATGTAGGATAAGGGGAACATGTGTATAGTGTCACTTTGGCACAAACAGTGCTGTCATTTGTTTTTAAAATCAATTGAAACATTCCTCAAATACAATTTAAGTTGAGTTTTATGAAAACTTGACTGGATTGAACCGAGTTGTTTCCTTTGACTGACCTCAGCCATTCGGACCCTCAGTCCAAATGTAACAAACATTCAGTCATTCGCCTATTTGACTGGATGAACTCCCATCTCATGAATTTCAGACATTCTTCATTCGATGTTGGTTGCTTTTCAGCGTATTTTTCCTTTTCCCCCCGTTCTTATTTTATCCTCAACTTGTTAACTTTTGAGATCTCCTCAGCAGCTGCTGCACAATTTTCTCCCATGCTCCAGGTCAAGGACTGGAAAGATAATGAATAAAATACCTTTTTGTTAACTTGAAATCTATTTTTGTGTGGATTTTGTCATAAAATGTCTTAGTGGGTTATGCTCAAACAGACGCTGCGCCGCAGCCGACAGGTTAGTGAGTCTAAACAAGCAAGATGCGAAACGGCCAAAACGCCGCAACTGGAGGCTGAATTAAACTATGAAAAGAACTATTATGACATTGTTGTTTTTAATTGCTAAAGAGCGAGTGAAATCGAGTTTCTCAGTGTCAGAGAACAGCGTCAGCACGCAGAGCGACTTGGCAGCAGTGCTTTCAAATGCAGTTACAGCCGCAGTAATAAGGGCCACGCAGTCCCCACACAGGAACACAACATCATTAGCGGCAAACAGCAGCCAGCGGTAGGAGCTGCTCGGAGTTGTCATTAAGGTTAAATTGACATCAAGAAGCTTGACCTTGTATGAGTCATTATTTTACCGTGCTAATGCTGCCGGTAAAACACAGTGGGTGCACTGCAGATGCACACAAGTGTTCGCTCACAGTCACTAAGCCTAACCCTAAGCCACCTGACACACAAACACATGGCTAGTGCATATAGTACACCTGAAGGGGGGTGTGGGGTGTTCAGGTGGTGGTGCAGGGCTGGCAGGGAACAAAGTACCTGACTGTAGTTGCCAAGGGAAACAGAGGGAGAGAGGGTGGAGGTGATGGAGTTGAGGGGGGAGCGATGAGACGCCATAGAGCCTTTTTACACCAGCAGAACCGAAGGTAAGCTGATCAAGAGCACCTGAAGGCATCATTTATTACGAGGGCAGAAGGAGACAGAAGGAGACAAGAGACAGAAGGAAAGAACAGAAAGAACGAAGAAAGGGGAAAAGAAAGGCAGAAGATAAGGAAACAGGGGAGGCAAGGGCGGAAGAAGGAAGGAGAGAAAAATGTCAGAATGGAAAGCAGCGAGGATGAAATAACTAAAGGAACAAAAAAAAAAACAAAGGAGTAAAAACGAACAGGAGAGAAGCAAAAAAGTAAGGAGGAATATACAGGAAGAACTGAAGGCGAAAAAAAGAGATTGCAGAAACAAGAAAGGACAGAGCAAAAGAAGGTATAGAAAAGTGGAAAGGGGAGGAGAAAAGCAAAAGTATGAATGAAATAAAATAAGTATAGAAGGAATAAAATATTTAAGGCAGAAGGGAGAAAACGGAAGAAAACAAGTCATGAAGGAAGCAGGGAGACAGGGATGATGAAACAGAAAAAGAGACGAGAGGAGAGAAAATATGAAGGGGAGGACAGGAGCAATGAGCATAGGAAGGAAGAAAACAGAAAACAAAATAGAAGCAGAGCAGAAAGTCAGAAAGAAAAATGAAGAATGTAAAGAGAAATGGGAGAGCAAACAAGCATACAAAGAAGGGCATAATGAAGGAAGGGAAATGGATGGCAGGAAAGAAAGAGGAAGGACTGTGGAATGAAAAAGTAGAGAGGGAAAAGAGAAGGAAGACAGAAAAAGAAAGGAGAAATGGAAATGTTGGGAAGGACAGAAAAAGATGAACAGAAGTAAAAGATAAAGACTGAAAAGTGTGACGAAAGGAGAAAGAAAAAAGGAGCAAAAAGGAAAAAGAGAAATGGAGGAAAGATGATTATGACAATAGCAAAGAACAAAAGGAAGGAGGAGGAAGAGTAATCGCAGTGGGGCTGAAATCACTTTGTCAGTATTTTTGGTGAATAATTCATTATTTCTGCAGAACATTATGAGATGGTTATAAGTGAAAGGCAAATTGACCGGAGGGCAAACGGCATCACAGCCCTCATGTCCCTGCCGTGGTCCTGATGAGAATAAACAGCTGCCACTGAGCGCGCTGATGGCACTGAAATTGACTGATAACCTGACTCTGCCTCAACACTGGTGCAATTTCTGCTCTGGATGTTTGAACATTTTGCAGCAAGCTTTAAAAAAAAATGCAGTCGTTTAGTAATAGCAGATTGCAGTCAAACTCAAGCACACACGCACGCACGCACGCACGCACGCATGCAAACACCCACACCCACAAACAAAATAAAACGAGTTAAATAAACTTCTTCTTTTCTCTTTTTGGTGAACACACACCTAATTTCATCCAGTAAAGTCTCCGCCTCCTTCTGTAAACTCGACGTTGTGTTTATGGCGGTAAATGAAAACCAAAAGCACATCTTAGAACAACGAACCTGTGAAACTGTCAAAGTATTTCCCCAGATCTGACGTCCGGATCTTGTCTTCCAGGATGTCAGTCTTGTTGAGGAAGAGGATGATGGAGGTGTTGTGGAACCAGGCGGAATGGATGGTGGTGTAGAAGAGAGCCAGACTCTCCTGCATGCGGTTCTGAGGAACACACAGTCAGTTTAACATGTTTTGATTCTGCAGAAAACATACATGTTTTATTTCTCTCTCTCTCTCTCTTTTATCCTTTAATTACGAAATTTTCACAAGGAGAGAAAACATGAGCTGCAGCAGTTTGCAGGGGGCTTTTGGGTAGCTGGAGGCGAAACCGGAGGAAGGAATAATTTAAACAGAGAGCAAGGGGAAGAAAATGAGCAACAGACCAACATGGAGGTTAATGAATGCTGTGGGAGACCAAAAAGAGTCTGGGAGAGATAACAGGTTTAGTCATAGCATGGGAGGGAAGAAGAGAGCACCAGGGGGCTCACAGGAGAGCAGGAGAGACGACGTGTGTTGTACGATAGTGCCACCCACAGGAGGAAGGATGAAATTACACAAACAAAGAACTACTACTACAGACTGCAACTAAATATATCAAATAAAAAGATAACACAATAAAATGTAAAGTGGTAGTAAATTGCTTATTATTCCTAACTTGGTCCTCAATTAGCCAGGGTAGGCTTATTGAGTTCCCGAGTTAATTATCTGTAGTGTTTTAGGGATTTTTTTTCTGCTGTTCTTGGATTATAGATTATGAACAGTTTCTGTCAGTCTAAACATTTCACATAAGATAGATGCACTGATCATTCTGGAGGCAGAGGAGACAACAGAGCTACAAGAGGTGACGCCTCATCCTGTCTGTCTTGTCCTTCAGTTTGCGAGGTCACTGTAGGACTGGTTGGGTAAGATTTTCAGGAGGGTCGAGTGCTGAGGCGTTTGTCTGCTTGTCGACAATAAGAAATCATGTCGGAACATGACTACTGGCTCTTTTTATCTGGATGATCTCAAAACAATAAACTCTTGATAATGAGTTTGGTTTCTGAGACCTGTGTTCAGGTTTTCTACAAAACTTGTTTTTTAGGCTTTAACTGATGAAACATTATAAAATTGGAACTAAAACCAGAACAAAGACATTAAAGTACCCGGCACAAAAAAACAAAACATGTATTAATCTTTTTCACATTTTTTTTAATGTAAAAACTACAAACTTCAAGATACTTGTACTGAGAATTGACCCAATAGATGAATGCAGGAGAAAATTATGAATTGTAAAGTTCTAATTTAATACTTAAAACCTGGAAAATGTGTCACGGCTGGCTGTGTGTTTGGTTTTGTTGACTCGCTTCATTCATCGCCCCTTTAACTCTGACCAGTTTTCCTGTTCCTGCACATGTCCCACATCATGACGCTGCCGCCACTGTGTTAGTTTTCTGCTTCACTTGTCTTGAAAAGAACACACTAACGAGGTGACTTCTGCAGACAATTATTTCAACTGTATTTTATCTCAAGGTTTTGGAATAAAGAGGATTGAATGCAAGTGAGCAGGAACTTTCAGTTTTTTATCTGTAAAATATTTTTTGAGTTCTGCACCCTTGTCCTGAATAAAATGTGCAAATAAATCTGAATTTTAATAAAGGCCTTTTGCAAAAACCTGAAAATCTGATGGAATATTATATTGCAACTTTTCAAATGCTTTCCAGCTCAAGATCACAAACAGCTCAAAAAAACACTGCTCTAATCTAATTTTAAAGCCGAAACGATCACTGAGTCTCCATAATTAAGGAAATGCAGCAGATATGCATTGGAAACACGATATAAATATGATTCAAGAGAAGAAATGGATTCATATTTAATCCACTTCCTGCTTGAGCTGACAGAGTGAAGGGAAAAGGGAGCAAACTCCTCTTACGATGGTCTCTCTCTCCTCCAGGACCTGGTCGTACTCGCTGAGGGAGGCCAGGAAGATGAGCGAGGTCACGTTTTCAAAGCAATGGATCCACTTCCGACGCTCCGACTTCTGCCCGCCAACATCCACAATCCTGAGGGAGGGAAGACGAAGAAAGCCTGTCTGCATCAATGTGAAGGACGTATCGAGGACTGAAAAATAAACTCAAACTCTGAGGGTTTCAAAGAACATGATAACGCTCTCGTGGATAGTTGATCAGTGGTTAAACTCGTCAAACTGACGGAGTTTAAAAAAACCTACAGATGTACATCTGGTCAGACTTCAAAACTACTTTTACAGCAGCAGTGGCAAATTCAAGTCAGGAGGTCGTAGGAAAGGACGCAGAAGAGAGAAAGTACAACATTTTAGAAACAAAAAGGTAGGAGTGAAATAAAAAATAAATGAATCAATAAAGAAACAAAAACCAAGTTCAAAAGGTACGGTTACTAATAAACAAAGGAGGAAAGGATGGCAGGCATGCAGAGAAGAAAGGAGGGAAGTAAGGACATAAAGGATTGAAAAAATAAGATGGCAAAATTAAAGAAAAAGGAAAGAGAAAGAAAACAGAAGGAGGGAATGTTGCATGAAGAGAAAACTAGAAAAGACAGGAAGAAGAACAAAGGAGAAAGAATAAAACAAAGAAAAGGATGAAGGATAGTGGAAAGCTTGAACAAAAAGGAAGGAAAGCAGAAAGGGTTTACATAATCACAGCAGAGAAAAAAGAAAGAGGGAGAGTTAAACAAAAAGTCTTCATCGATAGAAATGGCATCGATTAGAGAAAAGTGTCCGTAAAGGATTTACAAACATTATCAGCAAGGTGTTCGATCACAGGGAACTTAGATTCTTTTCACCAATGCATCTCACGTTTTGCTTGGATGGTGTTTAAATGTTCAGCCGATATGAGAGGAAAAAAACCCTGCTGCTGACTCAGAACCAGAAACGTGATGTACAGTAGTGAGAGCAAACGTTGTTTCTTGACACTTTTTTTTGTTGTTGTTGCTGTTTAAACCAGTCAAGTTGTGTTTAAGAATCGTGCCATTAATTATTGGGGCAGAAAAACAATGACTTGTGTGGAACTGTCCCAGTTCTCACAGATCATTCTCACGCCTACAGACTCTGACGAAGCTGCAAAAAAACCGGGCAGCAAATTTAGGACGTTCTTCACACTGACGATATGTGACGCCTCCAACCGGTCGCTGTGTCAGAAAGGAAGCAAACACCTCCTCCAGTTTAAGAAAAAATAAAAAAATCTAATACAAAAACAGAAAAAAAGCTAGCTAAAAGCAAAAAAAAAGTAAGGATTATGTTAAAAATATGTCCAGGTCGGGCTACTTATTCCTTCTAAAGCTGCTCGGTGTTTGTGTCGCCCGTGAAGGTTTAAATCTTTAACGGTAGAAACCCACATATGTGGGATTTGGATCAAAATCAAACACAAAATGGACACTTCACCTCTCAGCACGAACTCTGCAGAGAGGCAATTAGAAACATGATCCTACTGTGTCCAAGCAGACGCGAGCAGACAAAGCCTCAACAGTATTTTATTCACAGCGCCGTGAATAGTGCCGGTATTGGATTTGTCCCTGTGAGAGGGCGGTAATGTGAGGCCCAGCCACCTTAGCGTGATGTTCTTGATGGTGAAGGAGTAGTCGTGGATGCCCGTAGTGGGAAACCGAACACGCAGCACGTCCTGCTCCGTGGGGATGTAATCGTGGGCCGAGATCCGCTCCAAGTTGCTCAGGTAGCTGAAAGACAGAGAGACTTAGGGAAAACTCTGCTGCTGTTTGCTTTACATGAAGCTTTGTGAGACAAACTGAAAGTGACAGGAGACAAGTGATGAATTAGTGAGGGAAGAAAAAGTGTGATTAAAAAAACAGAAGAGGCGGCCTGGGGGTGGGGAGAGCCCACATTGACCTGTGTGCAAACAGCATCTTTATGGCCGGTGTTGAAACAAGATGTCATCAGCCAGTGTTGACCGACTGTCCCTTATCGAGTCCACATCATGATGACAGAGCTGCTGGGCAAACAGGACGGCGCAGCAATAGAAAAGAGGGACTGAAGAGAACCGGCCGGACCCGGGCTTTGTTCTGATTCTGAGTCACTCTGAGCCTCAGGATCACGCCTACTGCTATTCATTACACCATGACGAGAAACAGCCGTAAACTCTGCACTCTGACATTGAAAGCTGCGTGATTCCACAAAAACGCAGTTTGTTGGTGAGGAAGACGCCGTCTAGTGCTGAAATGTGTGACAGTTTTGCTTTTAGAGGTGAAACTGTGAAAGAAAAGAAGAAAACTCCAATTTCATTTCAGAAACCGAAGACCCCCAAAAAATCACATTTGAATCAAATGTATTCAAACATATAAATTAAACGTGTTTCTATTTGTTAACATTTAACTTGGTGATCAGTTTCCAAGTGGGCATGATTGTGAAGTTTTGTGTTTTTTTTCTAACAACTAATATGTTTAATAGATTAATCAATCAAAACTGCAAGATCCCATCATTTTCAATCCATGAACATCCAGTGGAATGCATTTTGAATCACTGTTTTTGAGATTAATAAAAATCTAATCCAGATTAGGCACATGAGCTCTGATACAGAAGGAGGAACTCGTAATTCCTTCCTTTCCTGTTTTATTAAAAACCATCAAATTTGAACTTCTCCTTTCACTCAACCTTTCATTGATATGTATCTTGTTCATATTTTATGCAACCCTCTTTTACCAATAGGACTTTGTCTTCTCCTACAGCATTAGTGAAGTCATAGCACATGGAGAGAATTCATGCTTTATTTCTACATCTATATAGGTTAAAGTCTGGAAACATGGTGGATATGGAACGAGGTTAATTTTGTGTCCGGTGAAACATCTTTGGTTTGATTTGGTCATACACATTGACTGATAACAAATTTTCAGTATACATTTGTATAAATGTCTTGCTTTATCAAAAATCTGTTATTGGTGCCCAAAACATGCCCACCGCATCACTGATTCTACACTTATCAGAGACAGTAATAATAAAAAGACCCTGTCACTTTTTATCACTCCAGTGGGAAATAGTTGTGACACCAGCAAATTTACTAAAACAACTATTTCTTAGTGTGGCATTCATACTTTGAGTCGCAGTCTTCTGGGAAGACTCTTCACATTTCTGCCATTGCAGAGACACTTCAATCACGCGCCTACATCTGATTCCCAGTCCAGTCAGAGGGTGCGGCTCACTCTTCTCCAGAATAAGTATGTCTTAGTTTTACTCACTACTCGGTGGAGTCCAGGAGCTGATACTCGCAGCGGCGGCTGTAACAGATCCGTATTCCTTGGTCTGACCAGAGGCGGCGGATGGCATCCACATATCTCCTCTCCAGGTGGGCGATGTGCATCGTGTTCACATCCTGCAGCCACCTGGCGAACCTCTGGAGAGCAAACGTCGGATGGTGAGAAAAGTGTTTGAGACGTGTGCAAAGACATGGTCTACAATTATTTTACACTAGAAAAATAAATGATCCAAAGATACTAATTTCCCAAAGAACTGCTATAAGTTTTCAACTCTGCTAACATTGCATGTACATCCAGAAAAACCCAAGCGATGCTCTTTATCCGATTGTTTGGAGATTATTTCTCCATGAAGCTGAGGATCCTACATGCTGACGTTGCAACGCTAACGTTTGAGAGCAACTTGAAAAGTTCAGTGAAAGTCCTGCATCTGCAGCAGTGACGCCGTAGACCTCCTGTACAATAAAAGCTAACAATATCTTCTTTAATATTAACTTCATGGACACAAACAACCCAAGGACACAGGCGGTACGTTAATTCGTACCATTTGTCTGCGGTACGAATTAATGCAGCTTTTCCAGTGTGTAGCCTCTCTCTCTTCTTGTAGATGCTGCAGTCTGTTTTCCAACCACAATAGGATGCACGTGTTTTTGTTTGAGTCATAAATGCCCTTTTCTCATTGCATGCACAATCCAATCAGCCTAAAAAGTGTTTTTTACCTGATGCCTTCACACCTGTGTTTATATGTGAGCATTCAAGTGTAACCAAGTGCAACTGTGCGTATTTATGCTGGCTGACATTTATGTGCGGGGCTCTACCTCGTTCTCCGGGCTGGTGTAAGGGATTCTGAGTGTGGTCATGGCTCCAGTCATGGCTTTGATGGCAGTGAAGATGTTCTGGTAGATACACTTAGCGAAGGCTTTCCGCTCCTCTTCTGAGAAGCCTCGACCGTGGATGATCTTCATCTGTCGGAGGAAGGTGGTTTTCCCACTTTCTCCAGTTCCTGAAGAAACAATAGCAATGGTGGTAATAACTAGGATTATTAAGTGAGCTATATGTAATTCCTTCACCATTATTAATGTCAGCCATGTCTGTAGTAATGTCTTCTCTTTTACACAATTCATTGCTCTGGTTTTCACGCTCTAGACAAACAGATTATGTGATTTTGACATTTAAAAATGTTCTCTCAATCAGTTCTGATTGGTCAAAATTTATTCTACCAATAACCAAACTTAAAGGAACGTCTTTGTTGCCATTTGAGACACATCAACTAAAAAAAAAAATGTTCTAATTTCTGCTCAGTAATTGCATCAATCAACAGCATTTGCAGAGCTCAAAGAAAGGTATAAGTGGGATGTTCATTCGGTAAGTCAGACAAAAACAGACCAAGGGGAGATTATTGGTGCGCACGTCCTCACAATAGGTGCTGAAAAGTATCCATTCTGCTCTCTGTCTGAAAAACCAGCCTCTTCAAATTGAGAAGTTGCTGCTAATTTCCTCGTAAAAAAACAAAGCCATGAAACTCTGATCGATCACACAATGGTTTCACACATGAAACGTTCCCCAAGAGGAGCCGTGGTGAGAAGGCATGCAGCCAAGACGGCTTTCCGCTCCTCTTCTGAGTCGATGAGAACTGATTCTGACAGGCAGAGCCCTTACCCTCCATAAACCTACACAGAATTACTTCTGTTGCTTTTGATATATGAGTATAAAATGATGTGCTTTTACATACAGTGTACAGAATTAGCCAATTTTCCCCCCTTTTTGTACATATTTTACAGTTTTCTTTACCCTAAAAACCTAAAAATAGAAGATAATTTGTGGTTTGTTATTCAAACAAGCATTCATGTTTAATTAATTCTTGACAGATTCTTCATTTCTGAAGATCATGTTAGCTTTGTAGTTGTAGAAATGTTTTTCTTAGCAGGAACCCAGTATACATAAGGCTCTTTGATTTGTAAAGGTTGGTTCAGATTGAAGGAGAAAAAAAGAAAATCCTCCCTCACCAGTTTCAGCTGATCTCATCAAGTTTTGAGAAACGTAAAATTTGTTATATTTCTCTTGTCACATATTTTATGTAACTACTGATAACTACCTTCACCCTAAATGAATGCAAATGCTATGGCTTTTTGCACCCTTCTCCTGACATATATCTTTATAAAATGAAACCCTAGATTCTTAGTAAGCTGTCCTACAGATTGAATATCTTATATCAGCTGAATTTTATTTAAAATTAATCAAAGTAAAAAAATATTTCGGTCCAAGGGGCTGTAAACATGAGCAACCAGATCACAGCAGCTTTTTATTTATATATGCTTTCCTCTAATACATTTTTTCTTTGTTTGTTTTGCACTTGAATTGCGCAAAGTATGATGGCATGTAAAAAAAATGTTTTGAATTTCTTTTTCTAATACAAATGTTTAAGCCCCAGAGACCTGGTGTGCATATACATTGAGCTGTATGATCATAGACAGAGGTTTCAGTTTCAGTAAGGAAGGTATAGGAACTCTTACTTATAAGATAAGACCTAAAAGCTTCCGCTCTAATGAACCATTTTTCTCTATTGGAGAGAAAACTGAGCACCGTTTTCTTCACACAATCCTTTCATTATGGCCTTTAAGAGGTATTTTATGAGGGAGAAAAGTCAGAAAGATAGAGAAGATATAAAAATATCATTACCTCCGCTACCGCTATGATTAGCACTACTGCAGGTCAATGAGGTCTGAGCAGCCTCCTCCTAGGTGACATCACGCAAACGTTTCAAGATCCCATATGCGAGAAGGGTCTTTGGAGTGAGCAGATCTCTAATGATGACTTTTTGTAAGCCAGTTGTTGCATTACCAATTCGTTTTGTTGTTGTTTGCTGGGGAGCAGGCAGCTCCGACCAGGAGAGGAGACTAAACAAGAGCCCTGCACCTTTTTCTGTCTTTGCAAGCTGCTTTAACAATTGAATTTCCCTGCTGTGGGGTCAATAAAGTCAAGTCCTATCTTCTCTTATCGTGTCTGCCATGGCCGTCTGGCCGGAGATGTTTACACTGTAAGGAAAAGACTTTGATTTCCAAAGTTGACTGTGGCACCTGGTGTGGGTCTGACTGCACCACTCAAAAGTAGAGGAGATTTAGAAGCTAAATTTGAAGTGCTTTTCTATTATTTCACATTGAGTTTGACTGGAAACTATTCATATATGTAGATTTAGATTGAAAATACGTTTAAGATACGTTCAGTCAACAGGGAATTTTGTTTCTGAGACAAGCATTCTTTAAAGACAATGCAAAACGAATTTGGACAAAAACATATTTTGCTGAAAAGTCTTTACTGGTGATCAGCTTTTTTGTTTTTAAAGCTGATCATTTAAAAAAGATTAGCTTTTTGAATGTTTTCAGTGGAACTTGAACAATATATTTTTGGTGAGGAGCGGGTCAGGTTGGAAGGCCTTTCCATCACCCTAATCAAGAGACGGCAAAGCAGAACAATGACCAAACAACTTCAGCCTTTTACATCACAAACTGATTCATGGCACTTTTGCTTTCTTCCAATGGCCGAACCTAATTCCTGACACGGACATGTTCACAGCAGCAATAACCTGACTTTAGCAGGCACAAATACTCTGCAGTTTCTCATAATACTTGTCAAACAAATCTTATCTCACCTTATGCACATCTGGACTTTTTTTGTGCAAGGCTAAAGCTTCTGTCTCAAACTGTCTCTGATGTAAATGTTCACACAACTTTACTCAAAACAGGAACAGAGAGAGTGAGGTTAAAATGCCGTAAAGACCTAAACAAAGTGGGACACTTGGCCACCCGAGTCTCTTTCCTGTCCTCTCGTCCCCCAGATGGAAGCTCATGCTAAGGCTTGGTATTCTGTGAGTTTCTTTCTGATAAAATGGAGTGAATGTTGCATTTCCGGTGTAAAATGTGGTCTAAGAGGAAATCAGCATTGTCCTCCACTACATGCCTTTCCCAGGGAAAACAGATCCTATTCCTCCTCATTTTATAATACCAGTCATCTTTTCTGTCTGTTTTTCTGTAGTTTTTCTGTGTTCAGCCTCCTTTTAACCACTGGTTTGTATCCCAGCAGTAAATTACTTTGAATATTTCTGTGGAGACTTTGAAGTGTAACAGGAAGTCAAAGTGAAGACAAACTGCTACATTCTTCATCCTTCAGACATTTTCTTACTCCCTTGCCAGTTAGTACATTTGTGGTTTTGATTGTCTGATGTGGCTTTACCGCTCTAAGAAATGTCTTCCAGCAGAGAATCACAGGTTAATTTGGCTTGATTTTTAATAGCAATTTGACATAAGTGAGGATCAGAAACTAAATAATTGGAAAGCAGAACTGTTTCCAGATAATTACCAATAAATCATAAACCAATAAATTTAGTACAATTGAACCCAAAATGATTCACTCCTCAGACAGATTTTGGGTATAAATAGTAAATTGTTTGTACTTGTATCATGCTTTATCGAGTCCAGATAAAGCACCACATTCACCCATTTACAACCGTTTACACTCTGATGGATACAATAAGCTGGTATTCAGTACAAAATGGAGGTACAAATATGATGTAAACTTGAGACTAATGAAGGTCCACACATTCCCGAAAAACGTACGATCCTGCAATGGAGAAAAATAAAAGCGTGATAAAAAGGTTTGTTTCATTTTATGTAAAGTGTACGCTTTAACATGTGAAATATAAAAAAGTAGAAGGTAAATAACATAAATGCACAAGTGACCACACCCTTTGTTAAATCACCTTCAGATTCACTTCCACCATTCAGTCTTCAGCTTCAGTTTTCACAATTGTATGGGGTGTTTTAAAAGTGTTACCAAAAACAACAGATCTTAAAGGCAATGTTGCATTTCACATTTCAAGCCTCACTATTGTTGCTTGCTGCATGTCACTACACACCAAGTGCTGTTTATATCAGCTGATAACCAGTCCACTGAAAAGCCTCATTAAAGCTCTGAAGAAAACCAGAGCTTAAATTATTCAAGCAAGCTGAGAAACAGCACGTGAAATATCAATAAAATGCTTTGGACGACGGTTTTAGCTCAGAGGAATGAAGGGACTGGAATCTGTAATGCAACACCAACACTGTTTATCGACAGGATCCACAGCGTCTCATCAAACCGACCTCTTAAAGCCGGAGACGATCTCCGAACTTGTTGATTTTTGCTGTAGTTCCCAAACGACACTCTCCAAGAATACAACATGATTCACCGAGCAGCAGGAAGTTGTGTGAAACGCTATCAGGATTTTACAGGCAACCCTGTTCCCATGTACAAACATTTGTTTTCTGTCTCCTCACACAGTCACTCAGGCAATAAGACTGGAAATAATTTTATGTTATTGTTTACAGGATCTCTACACTGTGTCAGGATTTTCCCTAATCCTGGTTCATTCCTGTTATCTGTTTAGCTTGCTAATGTTGGACTAAAATACAACCCGGGTGGGTCAATTAACATCGGAGTTAAGCCACTTTCAATGGGTCAAATTAATATATTCAAGTTTCTCAGTGATTTGTCAGACATTCATAATAAAGACAAAAAAAAAAAGCTAAACATAGCAGAAGTTGACATCAGTCATTAATATTGATTTCGTACAAAGAAGTAGCCTTCAATAGTGAAGCTGTGATCGGCACATTTCAATCATAATTGCATCAACAAAGATGTTATTTTGGGAATTGTTGCTGAGCACCACAAGCAGGAGTCCTGCACGTTTCTTATTTCTTTCTAGGGATGGATGGAGACACAAACGGTTGTAAAGAAAGGATGGAAAGACTTATGAATGGATGGATGGAGAGAACAAGGATGGGGAAATCGACACACAGATGGAAAGAAAATTATACGTTGGTTAAAGAAAAATGCACAGAGAGTCGAATGTATAAATATGAATGAATGGAGTGATGGACAGTGAGAAGAGCAAGAGAACTTGGGCAGAACATGTAGACAAAAAGAGACAGAGCATCAAGTGTTGGAAATGTTTGCTTTTTCATATTTTTAATTTTATGTTTTAAGTTATCCAGACATGGAAAGTGCTTAAAGCAAGTAACGAAAATTTTACCTGCATTGCACCTTTCACAGATAAAATCACAAGGACACATAGGAAAAACACATGAAAATAACATCAAATTGATTAAAAGTCTGTCTGTGTAAATATGTTTTAGCTGTATTTAAAGTCTAACTAAATTCTAGTCGAACAGAAAATTTTCTTACTTCACAAAATTTTCCAAAATATTCACCCTGAGCTTTTCCAGTGTACAAGTAGGATGAATGATCGCAGGAAATGTCGGCTGGCCGAGGACAAAAGCTTCAAAATTGCCACAACTTTATAACAGGTGATCAATTTACAGCACAGACCCACACACATGTAATTTCAGCTTTGATTATTTTTAACAGTTTCTTCCATTTCATAGTTTTTATTTGTTTTCTATCTAAATGAAATCGTCAGGGTGAAACACTGCCCCTGTCTGCAGGACCCCAAGTTCTTTAATCAACCCTGAACACAGCCTCACAGATTTCAGCGAGGTGTGCATCCAAGCACTGTTTCCAGGTGTGTAACCAGACCTAATCTATGTTCATTCTTCACATACTCTCAAAGTGACACATGCCTCACATAGTTTCTGCCTCCTTTGGCGCAGCTGCCAAGCAGGCCGAGCTGTTTGGGGCTGAACACAGGATGGTTCAGGGCATCATCCCACATCCTTTAATTGCGTTTCGCAATTGCCCGTAACTTTCTTCTTTGTGCCCTCGCTTTGATTTCGTGCCATCGTGTGTTTGAACTCAGGTGCAGCGTTGCTGTACTCACCCAGCAGCAGGACTTTAATCTCTCTTCTCTCCTTCTTCTTCTGCTGCCTGAGGATCCTCTTGATCTCTTTGTCCACAGAGATGGCGATCTTCTCATCCTCAGACAGACAGCACACGCAGGTGCGGTAGATCCAGTCACAGCACCCCGCCATGGACAAAACTTAGAAAATCCACCTGTTGACAGAGTAACCACATGGTGTAAAGCAGAACTGATAACAGACATGTTATAATAAACGAGGGCGTCACTTTGATGTTGACTCAACTTGCCATGATTTATTCCATCACAAATTGAGAATATTCAATTAAAACTCTCTATAGTGCTCAGTGAACTTTTAACCTTTAAAAAAAAACAACAAAAAAAAAACTTTACAGTGGTGTTCTGTGTGTAACTTTGAAACTTTTTACAGCCTTTATTTTAGACAAATAACCAGAGCTCACCTGTTTCTTTTTAAGGCTGAGGTGGACTTCAGCTACTTAAGCGTATCTCCTTACCTCCAATCAGAGCTTCAGACTTCCTGGAGATGGTGCAGGTGCAGGCTCCGACTGCTTTACGCAATCCATTTCCCACCCAGTACTCCCCCTGACCTCTCCTCTCTCCTCCTGCCGGCTACCCGCGAACGCCTGCCGTCATTCCCTCCAGCTGATGCCGGGTTCCCAGCGCCTTTCTCCCGGTCAGTCCGCTCCGGACGGTTCTGCCGCGCCCACACAGGAATGCACCGTCTCCTTGATCCGTTGAGCGCTCTGTGAAACTGGAATGCGCGCGGCGTGAAGCGCAGCGGATTTCAGCGGAAAACACGCAAAACCCGCCTCCTCAATAAGAGCGTGCTGCTTCCATTCTGCGCCTCCAGCAAGCCTTTACTTAACCAGGAAAAAAAATAACTCATTGAGAGTAAAAAAAATATCTTTTCTAAGAGTGACAGCAGCATAGAACATACTGTATGTCAAATCTAAAATTCAGAGGCAGAATAGCTTTTAAACTTTAAAAAAAAAAAAAAAAGTTTAAAAACCTTTTCATCAAAGTCACTTCTAACCTGTGATATCCTGAGAGTGTAGGCTGTGATGGCTGAAACTGATAGGCAAAAATATGCAGATGTCCAGGGTTTCATTTATAAAATGAAAACCAGGAAGTGGGAAAGTCTGCAGTCTGAAAAAAGGGACAATTTGCTGTAGCATAGAAAGTGCAGCGATAATGACTGACTGTTTTTTTTATGATAGTCAGTCATAAAAAAAACAGGTCACAATGATGTACAACATCCAAGCTTTTCAAATGCTGAGCTGAGGAGTTCCTAAGTCCATTGAATCTACCGAGTGGCTGAAATAAAGAGGTGAATGATGCGTAACATTTATTTTCTTTTCCAGGTGCATTAATCTTTCATTAATCTTTCATTTTGTTTTTTTTTAAATCACTTTTAGAAGAAAGTGATGAAGATTGTGATTGGTTATTATTTACATATGAGTTTGTTTACTTATTACTTTATTATTCAATTTCAACAAACGCTGTTGTTTGAATTTGCTAAAAAATAAATAAATAAATTATATATATATATATATATATATATATATATATATATATATATATATATATATATATATATATATATATATATATATATATTTCCAGTTATAGTGACTAAAAGTTCAACAAATTGAAGAGTATGTGGTGATTAAAGATGAGGCAGAATAGCTTTGTTTGTGGTTCTTGTCTTGATAATGGTCACACCCTGAGTTTATTGTTCCAAAGTAAATAGGGGACTCTGAACTGTGACAGCTGGTGAAACCTAAATGGCTCCTGACTGTTTCCTTCATGTTTCAGTTTTTTTTTTTTTTTTGCTTTGTTTTGTTTTTTATTTGTTTGTTTCCAGGTGGTCGAACCGTCCTCAGGTCCAGGGTCCTTTCGGTTCAATTCCTCCAAAAACCCCAAAAGGAAACAAACAAAAACAAACTAATTAATGGAGCTTTATTTTGAAAGCACCGACCCAGAAGTATACTCTCTTTGAGTTCCCTGGGCTTTACGCTGTTGTGACTGAGGGTGCAGAGACTGCGGATAAAGTTTCGGGCGCTGCAGGAGCTCACTGCTTCACGTTTCAGCCCAGGCCCAGAGAAACCACAGACCGCAAAACATTTTGTTTTACTTTTAATTTCTAACATAGCTGGACAGCAGGCCTGCACTGCTGAATGTCGGCGTCTGATTGTTTTCCTGTGAATTTGAGGAGTCAATACGGTCGCTTGACGTCTATTCTTAGAAAGAAACATCCATTATGCAAACCAAAAGAGCATGAGAAATGCAAACAATATTGCAAACCATATCAAGCACCCACGACATGCCAAATGTTGCAATGCATCACACTGAGCAAAATAAATCACCATAGCATAGACTTATGAGACACTATGCAGCAGAATTTCACAGATATTCTGTTATTTATTTAAACAGCTACATTTTTTGTTTTTTAATTCTATTTTTTTTAAGTGTACAACAGATGTTTAAACACATTGTCTCCTCGGATGTTATTTAAATGTCAATCCTTTGTTTGCGTGTGCAGAACCGGTTATTCAGGCTTTCATGGTTTCAGATATTGAGATCATCTGAGCCCTCCACTCCTGTGAGAAAAGGGTGAGGCAAGGAACCCAGAGAAAAGAGTATGAGCGGGTGCTGTTAGCATTCACCAACATGAGGACGTAAAACGAGGCTTAACTTTAACAGAGGTTCATAGGAGTGATGTGTTTTGTGTCTGGGTTGCTCACATTTGTGTCTGGGTTGCTCACATTTGCGTTGAAACAGAGTAGAAAAATGGTAACTGATGCATGTTATTTTGACAAACATGTTGGTTCATTGCTCAAAATCTTCAGACATAGGTGTTCCAGTGACAACAGGTGTATAAAGTTAAGCACCTGTAGGCAAGCAGACTGCTTTTCCCAACATTCTGTGAAAGAATGGGTCCCTCTGAGAAGCTCAGAGAAATGGAGTGACGCAATTAAGCAGTTTCTGAAATTTCTAAAAAAAACCTGGATATCATATGCCGGATAGGGGAGGGAGTTGTTTGGAGAGCTAATATGGAGGCGTCAACATGTAGAGTCAGCAGTAACTCAAAACTTTAAGTGGCCTTCAGACTAGTTGAAGATCAGGGAGCTGGAAGCTTTGTGAAATAGGCTTCCAGAGCCAAGAGCAACTGTCTGGATCCAGTTGTTACACTAACTGTGATGCAAAGTGTAGCATGTATGTTTGGATTCTGGGAAGAATGTGGGAAGACAATTTTCACCTTGATTATTTGTTGAGTAGTTCTTCAAAGCCAGGTGAACAGGTATACAATATTAACAACCTGTATTATTTTTTTAATTATGTTAAGGACGTTTAATAGCATCTATAGCAAATACATTTAACTACTAAAAACAACAATATGAAACAAAATTGAAAAAAATTTGCAAATAGCAATTACCTTGCTCCTTTCTTTCCTTCCCAGCCTCTTTAATGTTCCCATTCTTGAGCTTTAGCATGTTGGACTCTAAGATTTGAGCATAAAAGACAAGGAATGTCTATCCAAGAGGCCAAATATATCACTGGTTAGGAGAGTTTGGCAGCTGTAACATAATACCCCAAACATTGCATCCAAGAAGTCATTTAAGACACTCTGAAAGGATGGCAAGGATGAGTGCAATTAATTATACTTTGCAGATCTAGTTCCAGTGAAAGAACTCTTAATGCTGCAGCATGAAACACATGTTGTACTACCTCCCTTTCTAGTTCCGACATGACTGAGCACCAGTAGACAACGAAAGATTCAAAAGAGCATGAAAGGTCAAGTTAGGTGCCAATGGTTAGGACTCTGACTCTTAAAGTAATTAAGTTTCTTTGGAATAGATTGGAGTAGAATCTGTAAACCATGCCACCTCATCCAGCATCAGTGTTTGACCTCCCTAATGCTTCCCTGCAAGAGTGAACCTACAAACAAACTTGCACACAGACAAGGACAATAATCTATGAAGAGCTGGAGCTGCTAAGGGTAGGCTGACTTCATGTTGTATTCACTTTGTGACAAATGGGGTGTCATTAAAATTTTTTTCGAGAAAACAGTTTATGTATAAACGTGTTAAATATTAGTCACAGAAGCAAATTACATAGTTTGTGTTTGCAGGCAGCAATCTTGACAATTATGTTCAGTTTTTTGTGAGTGACTGTGAATTGTTTCAGGGATGCTTTTTTTAAAAAAGAAAAAAAAGCAGATGTTTATTTGAATGTAATTAGTCATAAAACATATATTTTTAATCAGTTTTTATTCAGAATACATCCAAAAACTTCCTAAATATGTGTTAGCAATAGTATTAAATACAAGAAAACAACTGATTAGAGAAGCAAAGGGTAGAAGAAAGGTGACATGAGTGCAGGGAAATCCTGGACGATGTATATGTACCTGAAAAGTACCCGTCTCTTTCTTCTTGCGGCAGGTTTGGCATCACTGTCAGCCTTCTGTGAAGTTTCCCGACCTGCTAGTGATATAACACAAATTCCTCTCATTCATGTCATGAATATGCAGCAGAAGACAAATTGTCTCTGTCACCATATGAGGTGCAAATCAGAAGATGATCAGCGATTACTTCACCAGCGTCAGCTCTCAGACAGCGTGACAAAACCCGGCAAACCCAAGATAGGGCGCTGCAGGCATTTTTTGTGTCAGCATAATTTCTAACAGTACATTCACTCAGACACAGTACTTTTCAGCTCTCAAAGTACAAGTTTGGCTGTTTCATACGTTTTCACCTCAACATTAAAATACACCTGTAATTCAATGATGTCGATGGTTTCTTATGAGGTTATGGAGTCCAAATTTGAGGAAATTCTCATTTTTGCAGAAGTGAAGAACACTTGTGATTTCACACTTCCTTACTGTATGTGGAAAAAATATATGTATAAAAAATACACTAACATTTAATTGGAACATAAAAACAAAACAACAGCAAATGTGCATAATTGTGGAATTAGATGCATGATTTAATATATAGTGCTGTTTAAAACTTAAGTGAAGTTCCTGTCTAATATTTCATTAAGTAGAGCTTTTGGCATAAGTTGTCGCTCAAGATAAAGGCATTCAGGACTACATTGTTATAATTCATACCTGAAGATCTTCCCAATCATTCCAAACATACCATATCCTTGTGAACATCTGTCACGTCTCAATTTTTCTGGCTTGGTGTCATTTGAGAAGTGGGAAATACAATCTGAAAACAATGAGAGACTGATCATCATTTATTTTTTCTGGAAATAAAGGAGGGGATTTTTATTTTTGCAAAATAAAGTAAACCAGATCTTTAACATCAATTTAAATTTGGATTAATACACACCATTTAAATGCCTATGTGAAGAAGAGGGCAGGGCTTGTGGTGTCATTGTGATTTTAAGATAAAACTTAAACTCCTAAAAATGTATTTGTTTCTTGAAAAACAAAATAACAAGAAAATGTGAAACAGGCCAAGTACACCAGATCCTCTTAAAACGTGGTTACATTGAATGCCCACAAGATAATCGCTTTGCTTTGCAGAATTTTAGCATTTGAACAGAAGAAGCTTTGCTAATATTTTGTTTTTGATCTCATCTGCATGAAGGGTCAGCAGTGCCTCATATTTAAATAAAAAAGGTGATGAATAAATAATTATATATATGATAAAACAAATAAAATTAGAAGTACACAAGTTAAATGTTTTTAGCTGCATTTTAATCAGTGCTATGTTCACTTTTTTTTGTTTTTCAAGTTTTGCTGCCAGATGTATGTCAAATTACACTATGTGTGTAACAAAGATAACAACACAGATCTTTTCAAAATGTGGAGCAAAAACATTGCCAGTAGCACCATAAAAATGTCACCTTCAAACAGTTAAATTAAACTTGGTCATTCCTACGTCAAACACATACCAGACTGTAATAAATGCAGGGATAGAGAACACATCCTTCTGTGGCTCTGATTTGTTTTACCTTTCGAAAATCTAATAATTTGTTTTACCTGCAACATATGATTAGTGAAATCTTGCAGATTACAGGCTGAGGTGAAGCAAGAAGTCTGAGGGATGAACAGTCATGATGATGAAATTGATTATTTGATATATTCTTTGTTAAATTTCTATTAATATCCACAACTGAAAGTTTTTAGTGATCCAATTGGATTATTGGTTGAAGTCTTTCTTTAATGTTTTTGCATGTTGTTACAAAAGTACTAACTTCAGTGTTTTCCTTAAAAGTGGCCATGTTAAGGCAACACAAAGTAGTTGCCTTAGAGACCGTGAAATTAAAATATCGGTTTTAAATGAGTTACCAAAAGAAACCGTTTACTGCAACTTGTACTTGTGCTGCTACACCAGATTATTTGAATCTCAGATTCTGTGACCCCAGAGGGAATGAAATAAAAATGGTCGCACATTTTGACAGTTAAACCTTCAGGCAGTAATTTTGGAAATTTGGGAGTATAAAATATATTACTGATCTCGAACATCAGAAGACGAATCCCAAGACTGACAAGCCAAATGATAGCTGGTAACAGTTGAAAAAAAAAGTGACCCAGTTTTTCTTTTTTTTAGGAAACAGTGATTTGAATATGCAACATTCTGCATTTACACACACTTCTTAAGCCAGTGGTAGGTAAATTGTCAAGCAGAAATACTTCATCTTCTATTTTGGTCACATTTTCTCATAACAGCTCTTAAAATGTGACCAGCAGTGTTTCAGTTCAGCGGCTTAACGACGCCCTCTGGAGACTTGATGCAGAAAACGCAACCGATTCTACATCTGGACTGCCAAGAATGAGATGAATAGTTATTCAAAACTTTGCATTCATTTGGTTATGCTGCACGGCTGGAAGATTATTTTTTATTTTTTGCGTTCAGTGATTTATAAACCCAAATAATGTATTTTAAAATCTATTCTCTGAGCTACAGGGAGAGAGTGCAAGGACTTTAAAATTGGGCTGGTGTGCTCTTTCCTCCTGATTTTAGTCAGTAGCGGCTTTCTGGATCAGCTGCAGTTGTCTGGTTGATTTTTTTATTTTTTTTTTAGGCAGAACTGTAAAGATAAAAATAAGCAAATGGAAATCCTAGATCTTGCTGGGACATTAGTTTTTCAATTCAGATAATGTTCTTCAGGTGAGAGAAGGCTGACTTTATAAACATCTTTATGTGGCTCTGACAGTCCAGGTCAGAGTCCCAGATTCAAGCCAGATATCTAGTTTCTAGCTGTAATAAGCTGTATGCTGACTCTGGAACGCTTAAGTCCAAAGATAATAACTTCAGTTGTGTTTTTGTTCTGCTGGAGAAAGTTACGGCACATCCACAAATGTACTTGTTCTCAACATCTATTCAGTGCTTGGATTGAAGTCACTTGGTGACATCGTAATGTAGAGCTGCGTATCATCTACATATGTTGGCTAATATAATTTCCTGTAATCACCTCAGCAAGTCGGAGCATATATACATATATATATTAAATAAGAGAGGTTCTAAGATTGATCCTTGGGGTACTCCACATGTGACTGATTCACTCTGATCATCGGTGTTTTCAATAATTAAAGTAACCTTATAATTAAGTTAATTTAATTATTAAAAGTCACCCTAAATGGTCATGTGGTTAAATAAAGACACTGCTGTTCATGTTGTTGACCTCTTGTCTCACTCCACTGAAGGAAACGTGTGGAAGCAAACATCCCTGTGGATCGACCTCCTGCTGTTTGACAGAAGATGGGCGTTGCCTGTCAAATCAAACACCGATATCTTTCCCTGTCACGCCTCCAGAATAAAAGCACTACTCCCTCTCAAGCAAACTTGGGAAATTCTCCATTAGGGAGGGTCTCAACCGTGGCGCTGTCACATACTCTGTTTTGATTGGTTGAGTCTCTTGTCAGCCAGCTGCATCCCAAGTGACGTCAGCAGCAGCAGCAGCGCCACACCGGGGCTGTGGAGTGGGTGACGAGGAGCGACCAGAACCACTAGGAAAAATTAAAAGGAGCGACAAAATGCACGGGCAGTAATTGTCAGTCGTCTGCTTTCACGTCTCGAGGCTCTTCCGTCTTCGGGACCCCCGGAGAGAGCTTCAGGTTGAGGCCATGACGGCTGCCTGTCATTCCAGGCTGTGTGGTTTTTAGGGATGGCTTCCTCGGCTAGCTTGCCCAGCTAACAGTTAGCCTCACTGGGTTCCAGTGTGGAAGAGATAGCAGCAACAGCTCTGCACTCCTGCTCTCATTTGGAATACTCCCGGGATCGTTGTTCTCCGAGGACCGTGAGACAGTGAGCCAAGCTGTCTGGATGGACAGTTTGACGGCGATTAATTGTCGCAACTTGGGCGTTTTTTCCAGGGTAGGTTTTTCTGGGCGGCTAGGCTCGCACTCGGCCAGGCGACCAGGAGAAGGGATTGTACAGATGTGGCCGTGGCAGCCTGTTGTGTCCCACCGTCTCTGCGCCTGAAGTTGGTAGTTTTTTGTTTTGTTTTGTTTTGTTTTTTAAATATATACACATGTTTTTCATCAGGGAAAATTGCTAAAAGTGTCTATAAAACATTTGCGAGTTTATTTGGTGGTTTAGCGCGCCAGCATCCAGCTAGTTTTCCAGCCTAGCTTCTGAGAAATTCACGCGTCCAAACTAAAACCAGCGCAATTTGGAGAGTGCATCTAATTAAAATGTGCTAATTGCACGTCTGGAGCCATCTAATGTGGACATGTTGCACTGCAGATTTTCTGTAAACCTCTCATTGTCCTCGTAGTTTGTTTGTTTGTTTGTTTGTTTTTTAACCGAGACAAAGCTGTCAAATATTGAACCTTTGACGGCAAAGGAGGCCAGATTCTGCACAAAAGCAGCAAGACCGTCACCAACTCCTGCACTCTGATACTCTCGGCGGTGGTGCAGCCCGGCGCTTCTGGTCAGACGGACTTTCCTTCCACCCTCCCACCCCCCACCAGCTCATGCGGTGATGACTTTGGAGCCCACGATGGCTTGTTGCCTGAGCGAGGAGGCGAAGGAGTCCAAGCGGATCAACGCTGAGATCGAGAAGCAACTCCGGCGAGATAAGAGAGACGCACGAAGGGAGCTGAAGCTGCTGCTCTTAGGTAGGTCTGCATGATCACACAAGTGATTGTTTTTATGTTTTTTTTTTTTTTTTTTAATTGTTGTAAAGATTGCTCAATTTGACCCCGGTGCACTCGAAGCCCAAAACTGCTGGACGTAATTTCACATGCAAAAACGACTGAAACCACAATTGCTCAAGCCACATTACTCAGGCCGCCGCAGGATTTGTTTGGGATGTGATATGCAAAAATCTAAAATCACACGCGGTTGTGGAGAGTGGTTCCTGCAGGACAATGAGTGAAAACAAGAACTGCACTCAGAGCAACAGGCTCAGATGCACAGGATCAGACTCAGTGATGACAAAGACCCGTATAAAAGTCTGAAAATAGACAAAAACCTTCATTGTGGCGGCAAAACCTCACTCTGAAAACATAGAAAATCCAACCTTTTTGGTTTCACTGCAGCTTTGTAGCAAAAAACCCCCCAAAACATTAACAGTAAGATGGAATCACCAAACCACATATGTTGTTAACCATACCGATTTCTATAAAATATACATAAAAGGAGTTCTTTTTTTAGTGTTTTGCTTACTTTAAGCTGACTGGAGTTTCTAGGAGATTTTTAATTAAGTAGACTGACACTTGTCATGGTATTCTTTAAATCTGAATTGGTTAAAAAAATAAATTCCAAGTTTTTCCAGATTTTTTCAAATCTACAGTTGTTATTCATAACTTTCTGTTTCCCCGAGAGATAACACTGACAACATTTTAGCCTCTATTTAAGAACGGAAAGATGGGCGATCGTGTTGTGTAAGGCAGATGTGACTACAAGGCAAGCATCTTGCCTATTTTTTTTGTATCTAAAGTCAGGATAATATAATCTGGAACTGTGAAAAAAAGAAAGAATTCATCTGGTTGTCTCATTGTGAGGATAGTAAGGGAGGTAAACGTCTCTACACATCCCTTCTGGAGATCTGCAGCAAAGAGTAGCTTCATGAAATCACAAATATCTTTTAAAATTATTACCAATTACCAATAATTGTTGAGAGCTCTGGGTATAAGTAATGACAAAAGAAGCAAATCTTTTATTCATATTTTTTTTTTCCACTAACTACTTTGTCTTACCTGAGTCTGTCTTCATGAGCTGTAATAAAAAGCTTTGGATTTTGCTTTCCTTTTCCTTTTATGTTTATGTAAACAAATTCTTACTATTGTGATGAACCTATAAACAGCAGCAGAATTATAGAGTACAGTAACTCTAATTTGCCTCTTTTGTAAAATATACTACCTATAAATCTTGACAAATGAAAAGTAGAATTAACAACATATTCCATTCCGTGTTTTATGAGCCTACTTTAGCATTACCATTGATTTATGCGTGTGTAAAACAAGAGTGTAAGAGTTGGCTTTTAATTAAGTCTGCTACAAAGGAGGCAGCTCTCTCTGGATGTCTGGCCTTGGTACGGCTTTCATTCAGGTGGTCTACTTTGGGAAATGACTGCTGCCCTAGGAGTTGGCTGATTTCTTAATGAAACTGGAGTAATGAAACCTTTGTGCACTGATGTAATTGCGCTGATAAAAGATGCTTGGCCCAGGATTCAGGTCTGCTTCTCTGAAAAGCTGGCAAAGACTCAGGCTCATGTTAAAGGTTACCTATCTCTGGTTTGTTGTCACAGGTGACTGAATACACACTTCCTGCTTCTAAGGATGTTCGCTTTACCAGTCAACACAAGCAAGCATAGCAACTTGTATTGATAAATGTTTCCTTCTTTGACGTCCTTGGTAGTAGTACATATTTGTGCACAAAGTTGAACCGTTTACCCAGTTATTAAATTAATTAAGAACCGTCAGTGTTTCCAAAATCATAATGCTGAATCTTGATATTTCCTGACAAGTATGTCAAGTTACGTGAAACAGTGTGGCCAGTAATTCATTATGGTTAATGCAACGCTACTTTTTTTTCCCTTCTCCCTGCCACCAAAGGAAAATTAAAGTAGATTTTTTTTCTCTAAGAAATATTTAAACAAAGCTTTTCACATTGAAAATGTGAAGGCTTATCACAATATTTAAAGTTTCATCCAGTTCTCGGGTTAAATATTCATCAGTATTTAAAGCTTATTTAAATTTGAGAATTTGTTCTTGCATTATTATGTCATTACTGTGACATTACTTAAGAGTGGTCTCAAAACAATATTATTGTTTATCACAATACACGGTTTCCCCCAGTGTATTATAAGTCTGGCTGGCCACCAGGTTAAGCAATGCTTATTTATTTGTCTTTTTAAAATGTTTGCATTTTTTAAAATTTTATAGTTGGTTTTCAGGTATTAATCTTTAAATAACACATGATTACAAATTTCCTGTCGCTGGATTAATGCCTGCCCCAGCGCCAAACCACTGGTGCTAACACATTTTCTAAGGGAAACCTTACAATAACTTCTAGGACAATTTATCATCCAGCAACATTTAATGTGACAGGCCCAAATATGTGCACCCATCCAACCTTTCTTCTGATGCACATTTTCTGTAGGGTCTCTCTTTAGAGAGTGTAATTTACCAGCCTGCACACAAGCTGGTAGCTCTTGTCATACTGGATACTCAAGGCATTTTACCTGAGAACCACATTCACACACACTCTGTGCAGATAATTTTATGACTCGATACTAAACTGATGGTAAAATTGCTGCACAGGGGTGGATCAACATGCGGGGAGGCCTGAATTGAACTGACATCCTTCAAACTGCAAGACTGCTATTCCAAAAATGTGAATGAGTCACCTCATAAAATTGGCAGACAGTCCATATTTTCACCTGACTTGTCTCTAGATATATATATTTTGTTGTCGTTCTAGATCTGGGGTGTCATCCCAGTCCTCAACGGCTGGTGTCCTGCAACTTTTAGATATGCCTCTGCTGCACCACACCTAAATAGAATAATTAGGTTATTAGCAAGGCTCTGGAGAACTGATCTACACAAGGAGGAGGTAATTGAGGTATTTCATTCCAGTGTTTTGTGCTTGTGGCACATCTAAAAACTGCAGGACACCAGGCCTTGAGGACTGGAGTTTGACACCTATGTTCTCGATGCTCCATAGACTTCCATTTACTGTTTGTTGATCTTCTTGAAGTCTTGTTTCCCAAGAAATTGGAACACCACATTAAGAAGTTCAAAGCTCATTTATGTTTGCTTTTAGATAGGTGGACTGCAAGTATTTGCCGTATTCTGTCTCAGGCTCAAAAATAATCAACCTATCTCAGTAATTGTCAGTTAATTAAATGGGCGACATACAAAGTTGATTAGCCACAAGCTAACCAACGAATTCAGTGCTAGTTCAAAACGAAACTCGAGGAGTGGTTTAAACTGAAGTGGAACATGGTTTATTACAAACTAAGAAGAATGAAGAATGTAGTTTGCAGTCTTAAATAGTATAGCAATGATGGTTGTAAAAATAAAGTAACTACTTACATGTGCATGTCACTTTGTGTAACTACAAGTAACAGCAGCGTTTGCTAAAAGTCAGATGTTGGTTAGTTAGGAAAGCTGCACTTGTTACTTGCCTAATGTTTGTTAGCTTAAATAGATGTATTTCTGACTTTTAAAAACCACATTTTGTATTTTCTAGAGATCGTGGAACTTGAAAATATAGAAATGAACAAAACATTTTCTTCAAAGCACCACTCTACTGAAAACAAACGCATAAATTAACTTAATGCATTTTAATTTGCCATAGTGAACATGGAGAGTGCCAATGAGATCACTAGATTTTGGTAAAGTGTCAATATGCCATCGAGCTGCGGTCATTATCTGACCTCTATTGGATATTGCAAAGCCGTGTTTTTGTGTTAATGTAGATGACCAATGATACAGAATGTAATGCACCCTAAATTTCAAAATTACATAAAGTTGTTATAGCAATAAATCATTTTAAATGGGGGGGAAAATACCCACATTTATGCACTCACTTAATTTTCACTTGAATACGTTTGACATGTAACATTTGAGATGACATACACCTTTCACGAATAAATCATGTCACAATCATTTAATCAGAAGAAATATATATTTCCAGCTTTGTTTTAGTCTATGCTTTTCATTAGCAACATAAAACATTTTATATTTTGTTTAAGCTACATCTTCAAACATTCAATTGAAAAGTGTTTCCTATCAGAGTTCAGATTTCTAGTTTTTCCTGTTTCTAATAATGTAGTGGAATGGTGAGCTCTTGAGAAAATGATTTGGAAGTCGGTATTCTTTATTCTTTCAGTCACCATAAAAATCTAAATTGTAGGAGGCTTGTTTTTTTTCTGCTTCTCATAGTCGCTGATATAATTTGGCAGTAAACGATAATAAAAAGCTATGGTGGGCCGGATTTGGCCGAGGGGGTTTGACATGTTAGGTGTTTCTTTGCTTCAGCTTATTTTGTTTGCTGAGATGCAATCAGATGAATCAGGCGTGTTTAAGCAGGGAAACGTCTAAAACATGCAGGGCAGTGTTCCTGGAGGAGCAGGTTTGGGAAGCACTGCCCTAAACGATGACTTTCAATTTTTAAAATGACTGGCAAGCAATCAATTATTGCACGTTTACACAATACTCTATATTTATAAAATGGACTAGTATGTGCTTTTTCAGCAAAATGTATGCAACTCTGACATTGCTCTATTGCGTTTGTTTCTTTGTTCTGAGTTAAACTGGAAGCTGTTTATGTGGCGTTGTGGTTAGAGCTCTCTAGCTCTGGTCTGATGCAGCAGAGTGAGACGCTCATCTGCTACCTGTAAGAAACACTGTTGGTTTTGTTTGAAGTTTTAGGGGAAGGCAATTATTCCAGCTGTTATTCCGGCAATATGCCGTCATTCCCCTTTGGTGTGGTGAAGAGTGGAGCAGTCGGAAGGGCAGTCTTCTGCTCTGTACTCTGACTAAAATGTGCACAGATTTCATTAAGTTGTGACTTAAGTTTTGATATTTACTTCTTTACATCCAAATAAAATCTTGATCTTCTGTCGGACCAAGTTTAAAAGTTAATATTCCTTATCTGGTAAATGTGT